TACTATTTGTAGTATTTGTGGTGGGAACCCCATTTTCATTCCTCACATTGGAGATTCCTGTTCTTTTTTTCCCCCTTTATTTGTCTAGGCTGAGGTCAATTTTGTTGTTCTCAGAAGACCAGCTTTTGGCTTTGTTAATTTTTTCTTTATTATCTATCAGTTTTCTGTTTCATTGACTTGTCTCATCTTTACTGTATTTTTCATTCTATTTATTTAGATTTATTTTGCCTTTTTTTGTTGTTTCTTAAAGTAGAAAGTGTCACCTTTGATTTTATACCTGTTCTCCTGTAATATAAGCATTTAAAGTTATATGTGTCCCTCTAAGCAATGCTATAGCTACAGTTTGCAAAGTTGTGTATCAGTTCAAAATATTTTCTAATTCTTGTAAGACTTACTTTTGATTCATGAGATATTTAAAAGTGTTTTAATTTCTAAATACATGGATTTTCTTGCTATATTATTGTTACCGGTTTCTAAATTAATGGCATTGTGGTTAGAAAATACACTTTAAGCCAGGCATGGTAGCTCACGTCTGTAATCCCAGCACTTTGGGAGGTGGAGGCAAGAGGATTGCCTGAGTTCACAGATATTCAAGACCAACCTGGGCAACTTGGTGAGGCCATGTCTCTACAGTAAATTTTGGGGGTTGTTAAAAATTTTTTTTAGTTAGGTCTTGCCAAGTTGCCTGGGCTGGTCTTGAACCAGTGGGCTCAGGCAATACACTTGCCTCAGCCTCCCAAAGTGCTGGGATTACAGGCTGAGCCACTGAGCCCAGCCTACAATAAATTTTTTAAAAAATTAGCTGGGTGTGGTAGCATATGCCTGTGGTTCTAGCTACTTGGTAGACTGAGGCTGAAGTACCACCTGAGCCCAGCAGGTTGAGGCTGCAGTGGCTGTGAGTGTGCCACTGTACTCTAGCCTGGGTGGCAGGGTGAAACTCTGGGAGGCAGGGAGGGAGGGAGGGAGGGAAGACCATATAATACGTTTTTTGTTTGTTTGATTTTTGAGTCGGAGTCTTAGTCTGTCACCCAGGCTGGAGTGTAGTGGCACACTCACAGCCACCACAGCCTTGACCTGCTGGACTCAGGGGATCCTTCTGCCTCAGCCTCCCAAGTAGCGGGAGTTCCAGGCGTACCACCATGCCCAGCTGATTTTCTTTTTTTTTAATGGTAGAGACAAGGTCTCGCCAAGTTGCCTAGGCTGGTCTCAAACCCCTGGGCTTTGGCAGTCCTCTCGCCTCCATCTCCCAAATTGCTGGGATTACAGGTGTGAACCACTGCACCTGGCCAAAATATGTCATTTTATAAATACCATTTCTGATGCTCGTCGTTTGTTCCTAAAGGGCCACATTTTCCTCTGGTATCATTATTCTCAGCCTGAAATAGTTCATTGGGCAGTTCTTGTCATACAGTCTACTGGTGATGAATTGTTGGGTTTTTTCTTTCTCTGAAGATATCCTTATTTCATTTGTCATTCCTGAAGGATGTTTTCCCTGGATGTAGAATTCTGGGAAGATTCCATGTACCCCCTCAGCAGTATCTCTTGGTTTCCAAGTTTCTGGAGAGAACATCATGGTTATTCAAATTGTTATTGCTCTGTATGTAATGTGTCATATTTTTCTGACTGCTTTTAATAATTTTTTTTATCATTGATTGTTAGCACTTTGATTATGATGTGTCTGGGTGGTTTTTTAAAATTTATCCTAGTTAAGATTTACTGAGCTTCTTGAATCTGTACATTTGTGTCACCAAATTTGGGGGAGTTTTCTGTCATTGTTTCTTCAAATACTTTTTGCCCTGATTTCTCTCTTTTTGTGGGAGTCTAGTTGCACATACATTACACCTTTTGATATTGTTCCATGGGTATCTCAGTCTCTCTTTATTGATATTCAATCTTTTTTCAGTGTAGCCTTCAGGTTAGATCATTTCTGTTGATTTGTCTTCAAGCTTGCTGTCATTTTCTTCTGTCTTATTCTTCTGTTGTCTGTCTAAAGAATATTTTATATTATATATGGTATCTTTCAGTTGTAAAATTTCCATTTGGTTCTTTTATGCTTTTTCTTTCTGTACTGCGATACTTATTTTTATATTTATTTCATGAATATTTTTCTTGAGCATGGTGAAAATATTTGCTTTAAGGTCCTTATAGGATCGTTCCAACATATGGGTCATCGTAGAATTGACGCCTATTGACTGCTCTCTCCACTGAAATAGATACATTCTCCTAGTTCTTCTTATTGACTAACTTCGTAGTGTATCTTTGAAGTGATGGGTGCAGTCGTTCCACCTTATCTGTGGGGGATATGTTCCAAGACCTTACTGTGGCTCTCAAACCCTGTATACACCGGGTTTTTTCCTTATACATACACACCTTTGCCAAAGTTTAATTTATAAGTTAGGCACAATCAGAGTAACAACAGTAATAATAAAATAGAACAATCAAAACAATCAATTATATTTTATCCAGACTTTCTAGTTGTTACCAGCAGAGGGACAGGCTGTGGAGACTCACAGTGCCATGCCAGAGCAGACTTGATATGTTGTAATAAAAGCTGTGTGAATGTGGTCTCTCTCTTTCTCAAGATATCTTGTACTGTATTGCAGGCAACTGAGACCACAGACTGCAAAACCGCGGATAAGAGAGGACTGTGGTATTCCCTTGTATAGACTCTGGGTTCTTTTTTGTAGTTTTCTGGCAGGCAATCAGCTGATTTCTATTTGGATAGTAGTCTCTGTCTTCTTGTATTCTGTAGGTTCAAACCTCAGTTCTGTTTTTAAGCCTTTCTGACACTGTATTGAGTCCAGCCTGCACATGCACCTCTCGGGGCAGACTGAGGCCTGCATGGGTTCTCGTACAGAACTAGAATATCCTTCTCTGGTTCTCTCCCCTCCCTCCAGGATTCTCCCTGCAGTGTCTACCTGGGATCCTTTCTGGTTTCCTCTGCATAGGATGTAGCAGGACTTCCTTAAGGATCTGTCACTTACTCATGTTGCCACCCCACCCCGCAAGCTGCAGTCACTCTTGTGGCGGAACAGAAAAAGGAAAGAGTAGAGATAGGAAACTCATTCCAGTGGCAGACCCTTCTCCCAGCTTTTGTTTCCCTGAGTGTACCGTCTTCCATCTTTTCTTTACTCTCAGAATTCCGGGGGAGTTGTATTTTATATTTTATCCAGACTTTCTAGTTGTTACCAGCAGAGGGACAAGCTGTGGGACTCACAGTGCCACGCCAGAGCAGACTTGATTATTTTTAGAAAAATGGTTCTCCTCCTGGTTCACCATCCCTGGTCTGACATGAGAACATGTCAGGTAGTGTAACTCACTTCTGCCTTTGTTTAATTTGTTCCCTCTGGGACTCCCTCACCACCTGTGCTCCTGAAACTAAGAGCGTTCTTCATGTCTTCATGGCCCAAGAGAGTTTGTCTCATTTGCGAACATGTGTCCTCAGCCCACCCTCCCCCTTTTCAGATTCCAGGCATTTGCTTACACCAGCGGGGGACATTTATGGATGGATTCGTTCATTGTTTCTTCAAACATTTGTCCAGTGGCCATTTCATGCCACTTTTGTTTGTTCTTATGATTAAAAACAGCTAAAGCTTAAAAACAGCAGCTTTTGGAGGGAGGGGACAGTTTGGTTGGTGTGAGTACGAGGAATGAAGAACAGTGTGGTGAGAACAGGAGCAGTCATGTGACAGGAGAGGCTCACATCTTGGGAGGAGCAGAAGAGGGGAAAGGAAAAAGAAATTAGAGAAATGTGAGGCTTGATGGTTTATCTGGCCACACAGTGTTTCTAATATTACAGAATATTATAAATCGGTCCCTGGATGAACAACAGAAAGTTGACTGATTATGGATCAGGGATAGACTTTAGATGTTGAAGTTCTTTGTCAGTATTACTGATATTAATGAAAATAAAATTAAGTCATATTTATAAATTATGTTACAAATAAAAATAATTTTATAACAACCCAATATTACTTTAAAAATTCTCAATGGGGCCAGACTCAGTGGCTCAGCCTGTATTCCCAGCACTTTGGGAGGCCGAGGCGAGTGGATTGCCTCAGGCCACAGGTTGGAGACCAGCCTAGGCAACTTGGCGAGAACTCGTCTCTACAATAAATAAAAAATTAGCCGGGCATGATAGCGTGTGCCTGTAGTTCCAACTACTTGTAAGGCTGGGGCAGAAGAATTGCTGGTGCTCAGCAGGTTGAGGATATGGTAGCCGTGAGTGTGCCACTGTACTCCATCCTGAACGACAGAGTGAGACTCCGACTCAAAAAAAAAAAATTCTCAGTGGTTAATTATAATCTGTTTACCACTTTTCACCTTTGGGTTTAGGACCTTAAATTGGAAGATTTAAGGGGGAAAAATGCCTTTTAACCCAACACAGGGTATGTTACCCATTCATTAAGAGATAAAATTGAAGCCGGGCTCTGTGGCTCAGCCTGTAATCCCACGCCTTTGGGAGGCTGAGGTGAGTGGATTGCCTGAGCCCGCAGGTTCGAGACTCACCTGGGCAACTTGGCAAGACCGCATCTCTACAATAAATCAAAAAATTATTAGCAGGGCGTGGTAGCGCGTGCCTGTAGTTCCAGCTACTCGGAAGGCTGAGGCGGAAGGGTCGCTGGAGCCCAGCAGGTCGAGGCTGCGGTGGCTGGGAGTGGCCATTGCACTCCAGTCTGGGCGACAGAGTGAGAATCCAACTCAAAAAAAAAAAAAAAGAGATGAAATTGTGAGTTTGAGTGCCATATTTTGTGGAAGTGGAAACACTAAGTAATATTTGGAAAATACTGCTGAAATATCCTTAGGGATCTTCAAAGAGTTGGTTTATTACAGTAGAAAGTAAATCTAGTACCTAGAGTATACATTTATGGTCTAAATGTGAGCACAAATTTAACAACCATAGAATATCTCTCTCCAGTTGTTATCCGGTAGCTTCCTGTATGTCAAAGATTTGTTTCATCAGTCTCTAACATTGTCGAATTTTTCTTTATTTTGTGCAGATGCTTCTTTCTCAGCAAAATAGAGGAGAAGCTTGCTCCTCTTCCAGATGACCACACCATGAATGTAGATGAAGACAGTGATCCCAGTGACAGGAGGGAAGTGCACGAGGCAGAGGAAGATGTTACATCCCTGATCAAGAGCTGCAAGTTCTCCATGAAAATGAAGATGGTAGAAAGTGCACGGAAGCAGGTAGGTGCTCATGTCTTTGCTCCTCTGTTGTATCACAGGATCTTTCTAAATTAGACTTTTTTCATAATTTAGCTTTTCTTTAAAATCTGCAGCTTAAAATAATTGATCAGGTAGTGTTTTTTTCTCTTTATAATAAAGAAAACTTGAAGAAACACTTAACTAAAAGTTATCCAGAAGCCTCTAATATGTATTATATACCTGTTGATCATTGCAAAATTATTATATATTATTTTAAATGCAAATAAACCTAAAGACAGGTTTGATCGTTTTTTACAAAACGAATCCTTACCAGTTAGTTAGAAGTTACTTTTAGAGTTAGTTTGTAGAAATTTATTATTTAATAATAATAAGATGCTTTTTTAAGAGTAAACATACTTTTTATTTTTATTTATTTTTTTTAAATATTTTATTTTAAAATGTGGAGTACAATTCAGGATGAGGTGTACTAGTAGACATCGTACAGGTAGAGTCTGGGCCTTTCTTTGGTTCCCACTTTGCCTGGTTTGGGGTCAGGTACCCTTGTTGATGTTGTATTCCCTACTCCCACCACGGCAGTATCCCACTACTGCCTGTCCCATTCTTATAGTGTTAATGGTAAGTGTTCAGGATCTGCTTGTGAGTGAGAAGATGTGGTACTTTGTTGTTTGTTTCTGTAATAGATCGCTGAGTATTATAGACTCTAAATCCATCCACGTTGCTGTGAAGTCTACATGTTTGTCCTTCTTTATGGCTGTATAATATTCCATCGTGTATGTATCACATTTTTTTAATCCAGTTCAGTTTCAGTGGGCAGCACGGTTGGTTTCATGTTTTTGCTGTTGTAAATAGTGCTGTAATAAACATGCGTGAGCAGGTATCTTTTTTGTAGAATGATTTGAGTTCCTCTCGGTATATTTCCAGTAGAGGGATTGCTGGGTCATATGAAAGGCCAGTTTCTAGTTTTTTTAGAAATCACCACACTGTTTTCCATAGAGGTTGAACTAGTTTGCATTTTCCCCAGCAGTGTAGAAGCATTTCCTTTTCTCCACATCCTTGCCAGTATCTGTTGTTTGTGACATCACACAACCTCCCAAGGTTGAAACAAGAAGACATTGAGACACTAAGTAGACCAATAACAACCCAGGAAATTGACTCTGTCATAAGAAAACTACCTACAAAAAAATGCCCTGAACCAGATGGCTTTCCAGTGGAATTCTATAAAACATACAAGGCGGAACTAGTACCAATACTATTGAAAGTATTCCAAGCAATTAAGAAAGATCATTTTATGAAGGTAACATCACAGTGATACTCAAACCAGTTAATGATCCAACAAAGAAAGAGAGCTAAAGGCCAATATCCCTAATGAACATAGATGCAAAAATTCTCAACAAGATTCTAGTGAATCAGATCCAACAACGCATCTTAAAAATCATCCACCATGACCAAATAGGCTTCATCCTGGAATGCAGGGCTGGTTCAACATCCACAAGACCATAAATGTAATTAAATACTTCAACAGATGTAAAAACAAGAACCACATGGTTATATCATTAGATGCAGAAAAAGCTTTTGAGAAAATCCAGCATCTCTTCTTGACAAAAACCCTCAAACACCTAGGCATAGAGGGAACATACCTCAAAATAGTAAGTGCCATCTACCATAAACCCATAGCCAACATATTGCTAAATGGACAGAAACTAGAACCGTTTCCCTGACAACCGGATCCAGAAAAGGCTGCCCACTCCCACTCCTCCTGTTCAACAATGTGCTGTAAGTCCTTGCTACAGCGATTAGATAAGAGAAGGAAATCAGGGTATCCAAATAGGAAAAGAGGAAGTTAAGTTATCCCTCTTTGCTGACGATATGATTCTATACCTCGAGAATCCAAGAGAATCTGTCACTGAGAAAGGACTTTTGCAAAGTCTGGGGGTACAAAATAAATGTGCAAAAGACAGTTGCATTTTTATACCTCAACAACTAAGAGGCAGAGAGCCAAATAAACCACAATCCCATTCACAATAACCACAAAAAAAAAAAAAAGAAGTACCTTGGCATCTTTCTAACCAGAGATGTGAAAGACCTTTTACAATGAAAGCTACAAAACGCTTCTCAAAGAAATCCAAGAAGACACAAACAAATGGAAAAATATTCCATGCTCACGGATAGGAAGGATCAACATTAAGATGTCCATCCTACCAGAGGCAATCTACTGATTCAACACAATACCCATTAAATTATCAACATCATTCTTCTCAGACCTGGAAATGACAACACAGAAATTCATATGGAAACATAAACAACCATGAATAGCCAAAACAATCCTTAGCAAAAGAAACAAAGTGGGAGACATCACACTTCAAGACTTTAAACTTTACTATGAGGCTGCAATAACCAAAACAGCCTGGTATTGGCACAAGAACAGGCCTAGGGACCAAGGGAACAGGATAGAGATTCCGGAAGCCAAACCTCCATTTCTCAACCAACTCATCTTTCGCAGAAGCCTCCACCAACAACCACTGGGGAGAGGAGGACCTATTCAGTAAATGGTGCTGGGAAAACTGACTGACCACATGCAGAAGATTAAAACAGGACCCCTACCTGTCACCATACACAAAAGTCAACTCTAAATGGATCAAAGACCTAACTGCAACACCTCAAACTATAAAAATCTTAAAAAACACAGGAGACACCCTTACAGAAATCAGAGTAGGCATCCAATTCCTGATCAGAACCCCAGCTGTCCGTGCTGTAAGAGATAAGATAGACAAGTGGGGCATCATTAAACTGAAAAGATTCTGCAGAGCAAAGAAATCAAGAGAGCAAGGATACAGCCCACAGAATGGGAAAAAGTATTTGCCAAATGTATATCTAACAAAGGCCTAACATCCAGGATCTATAAGGAACTCAAACGTGCCAAAAGGAAAAAAAACAAACAGCTCCATTAATAAGTGAGCAAAAGACATGAATAGATACTTCTCAAAAGAAGAGATACAGGCAGCCAACAGACACATGAAAAAGTGCTCAGCCTCACTAATCATCAGAGAAATGCAAATCAAAACCACATTGAAATATCTCGTGACCCCAGCAAGAATGAACATCATTAATAAAACAAACAACAAACAGATACTGGTGAGGATGAGGGGAAAAGGGAATGCTTTTCTTGATATTAGGCGTATGTTGCTTAAAAGTTACATATAATCTGTTTAACTGTGTTAAATCATATCTGGGTATACTAGGGGAACTTGCTCTTTTAATGACCCTGTATCAATATTTTTGTTTTGTAGGTTTCAATGCTTAATTATAGATTTGTCTTTGGATAGGTGTCATAAATTAGGAATTTGTATATTGCACATAATAGAAAACTTAACCCAGAGCAACCCAAGAGAACAAAGGTGCATTTCCCAGAGGGCTGAAGCAGGTTAGAAGGCAAGCAGAGCAGGAATTGGTTTAGAGAAGCGTAGGGTTTGCTCGGGAGGGGTGACTTGAGTTTTAAGGACTCAGTGGTGAGTGAGTTCAGGGTCATAAGGAGAGGATCCCTGGTGCCATTAGGAAACTGTGCCCAGCATGATTAGGGAGAAACACTGTCCCTGCCAGTGAAGGGTCAGGGGCTGCACATGTGAGGACCACACAGTTGATCAAAGAAGGGTATCAGCAATGCTAGGCGGGTACAAAGAGGAAGGCGACTTCCACCGAAACCATGAGGCGCTGGAGAAAAAGCGTGTGATTTAGAGTGGGCTCTGTTGGAATGGAAGGGTTGGACATGGAGAGTAGAGAAGAACATCCCAGGTGTTAGGAACTATGCAAACAAAACATGAAGGGAAGCTGTAGAATCTGCTCTGCAGAGTAGTGTGGACCTCTTGCATGGTAGATTTGGGGTGGGTCACAATGGGATTATACAGTGCAGGGGTCAGGAAACCATCCAGCACTCTCTACACATGCTGGCCAGCTGGAAGCTGGGAGGAAGATTGACAGCTCAGGGAAAAGCAAAGGCCTTGAGAGGGACCAAGCCCTGCATTAGGGGAGTGGGGACGGGGGTGAACAGCATGTGAGCGATGCTCTATAAGAAGATGCAGGAAGACATGAAGGAATGGGAAACGCGAAAGGGCAGTGCTGAGAGTCCCTCGGATTTTCAGCCTGGATGATTGAAAGGCAGTAATTAGGAAGACCCAGGTCTGATGAACATGTTTTTTGAAGCTTTGGAGAGAATTAGAGATGCAGATTTTAGAAGACATCCACATAACACGCAACTAAATAAAAAATAGATCTGTGATACTTCATCAAAATTTAAAACTTTTGTGCCTCAAATGACATGCTCAAGAATGAAAACACAGCCTACATAATGGAAGAAAATATTTGCAGATTATGTGTCTGATAAGGGTCTAGTATCAAGAATATATAAAGAACACTTTACAACTGAGAAACAAAGTCAGACAACCCAATTCAAAATATGGGCAAAGGATTTGAATAGAGGGTTTTCCAAAGAAGATATGCAAATAGCCAACCAGCACATGAAAAGATGCTTAGCATCTTTTATCATCAGGGAAATGCAGATCAAAATCACAATGAGAAACCACTTTATACCCACTGGGATGATTAGAATCAGAAAGATAAATAATAGATGCTGGTGAGGATGTGGAGAAACTGAGCCTTCATACATTGCCGGTGGGAACGTAGAGTGGTGAGAAACATCTGTGGAAATCAGGCAGTTCCTCAAGAAGTTGAACATCGGGGCTGGTCCAGGTACATTTACAGCTAATTGATCACAACCAGTTGCAGATTCTTTGTTCCTTCTCTCCTCCCACTGTTTCACTTAACTAACCTCACAAAGAAAAAGTTGGCTAGGTGTGGTGTATCATACAAGCCTGTAATCCCAACTCTTTGGGGAAGCTAAGACAGGAGGATTGCTTGAGGCCAGGAGTTCAAGACCAGCCTGGGCAAATTAGTGAGACGGTGTCTCTACAAAACAAAAACAAAAACAAAAACGCATTGTGGCGTTCACCTGAAGACCAAGCTACTCAGGAGGCTGAGTGCAGAAGGTCTTGGCTATGCTGAGCCATGATTGTGCCACTGCACTCCAGCCTGAATGACAGAGGGAGACCTCAACTCAAAAAAAAGAAAAAGTTGGGCAACCCCTTCAAGTCCCCTCCCATTGTGGGAGCTTTTCTGTCCTCTCAATAAATCCTGCTTTCAAAAAAAAGAAAAGGAAAAAGTTGAACGTAGAGTTACTGTATGACGTGATATTTCTACTCTTGGGTATACATCCAAGATAAATGAAAGCATATGCCCACAGAGAAATGTGTATACAATGTTACTCATTGAGTAACATTTTCAGCATTACTCAAAATAGCTGGAAAGGTGGAAACAACCCGAATGTCCATCAGTAGATGAATGGATAAGTAAAATGTGGTATATCCATGCAGTGGAATATTCAGCCATAAAGAGGAATGAAATGCTGACACATGCTACAACGTGGATAAACCTGGAAAACATGCTAAGTGAAAGAAGCTAGACATAGAATCACCACTTATTTTCTGATACTGTTGTCATGAAATGTCCCGAGCAGGCAAATCCATAGAGAGAAAGTCGATTAGTGGTTGCCCGCGGCTAGGGCAGTGACTGCTAATGGACAAGTGGGTGTCTTTTAGGGCTGGTGGAATTATTCTGGAATTGGATCTTGGTGGCGGTTGCCCAACTTTGTAAATACAGTAAAAAATACTGCATTGTACTCTTTAAATGTGAATTATATTCCAGGGATAAATAAAAAGACATATATAATTGAAACTGAGGAAATGAATTTGCTGTTCTAAGGAGGATTGTGTCATACACAAAGCGGAAGTAGGCCAGTTAAAAACTTCTTTTGCAGCTGGGTGTGGTGGCTCACGCCTGTAATCCCAGCGCTTTGGTAGGTGGAGGCGAGAGGATTGCCTGAGCCCAGAGTTCAAGACCAGCCTGAGCAACTTGGCGAGACCTTGTCTCTACAATAAAGCAAAAAATTAGCCAGATGTGGTGGTGCGCGCTTGTGGTTCTAGCTACTTGGAAGGCTGAGGTGGAAGGATCGCCTGAACACAACAGGTTGAGGCTGCAGTGACTGTGAGCGTGCTACTGCACTCCAGCCTGGGCGACAGAGTGAGACTCCAAGTCAAAAAAAATTATTTTGTAAAGTAATTTTATTTCTGAACTGTCATCTGTCTGTGATCAACCACTTTTTTGTTTTGTTAATATAGAACAATTTCTCACTTGCCATGAAACTGCTGAAGGAGCTGCACAAAGAGTCGAAAACGAGAGAAGACTGGCTGGTGAGATGGGTACAGAGCTACTGTCGCCTGAGCCACTGTCGCAGCCAGGCCCAGGGCTGCTCCAAGCAGATTCTCACTGTGCTGAAGACGGTCTCTCTTTTGGGTGATTACACTGTTCTTGTCCACATACATTTTAAGTGCTGTTTTAGATTATGTCTTGTGTGTCTTCTAAAACTGTTCTTTGTGCTGCTGCATCTGACATTTGGGAGGTAAATCTTCGTAGGAATTTTAGTAAATATGGCAAAGTGTGCCAGAGAGAATAATGTCATTTTCTTGGGAACTGAGCAAAAAGATTGGGAGCCGAGGTCTTTTGTATTCTCATAATGCTGTTGAATATGACATTTGGAGTTTTAAATTTTTTTTCTATGAAGTAAAATGGAAATTAAAATTTTTATCTTTAATGCTTAACCAAATTATGGGTCTGATGTTTTGAAAATTTTGCATATAAGATGTGAAAACTTACACATGGAATGTCATTCTCTTCCTCAGTTTTTCTCTTTTCAATATAATGTAGCCTATTATAATTCTGTAAATGTTCAGTTTAGAAAAGATGATTCAGTTAACAATTTTAACATTGCCCAGACAAGAAAAATACAGTTAAAAGCTATTAAGTGACATCTCCAGGGCAACCTTCCTAACACAAGCTGGAGAGTCAGATTAAACACAGATCTTCTAAGGTAAGGACTACCTGAGAATGTTTGTAGGTTACATTCCACTGCTCACCCCTCACGCCCTCCACTCCCAACCTCAAAAACTGAAGGGAAAAAACACCAGAATTTTAAGTGCCTTTAAACATGTAAATATATATTTCTACATTTCATGCTAGGCAACAAAAAATGCTAAGAATGTGTCTTGATTTATGCCTCTCATATGAATTAAAAGTACTGTATAATAGTGTGAGAAATGCAGTAGTAAATGCTCAGTTCACAAAAGCAGATAGACAAAAGAGAAGAAATGGAAAATACTGGTTTCCAGATTTGAAATGAATTATTGACCACTGGCATTCTTCCATTTTGCTTCAGAATAAGAACTCACGGTTCAGTCATTACCTGACACCCTTCTTCACTCTGTCTTGAAGTATAAATTAATGTTTTGCTTAGATGTTTGTCAAGAGTAGTATAGCCTTTTCCCCTCCCTCTATGGTTAGAAACCATATTTCTTTATTTCAGGTATTGAGAGTATATTAGATACATTCAGAGATCTCTGTGCATAGAAATATCTCATCTGGAGATCCCTCAGCCTTATTCTTCCTTGTATAATGCTTTTAATTTTAAAGATGAATTTTAGTTATTGAAAAAACCAAACAAAATAATGTAGTCTTTAAGACTGAGGGTAGAAAAGCTTTTGTGGGCGAATTTGGATCTGGTCCCTCTGCTCTATTGCCCTGTGTCCAAGAGTACATGGTAGCACTGTGATCAGACGTGTTCCAGTGTGTCCCCAGATTGGCTGTTTAGCAGGACAGAGCGCTGGGCCAGAGTATCAGCCCCAGTTAAGGTGCCAGAAGGAAAAGCAGTCTTGGCATATTAATTACAGGATTAGAAGGTCATTCTATCTGGGCATGGTGGCTTGTGCCTGTAGCCTCAGCTACTTGGGAAGCTGAGGGAGGAGGATTGCTAGAGTCCAGGAGATCGAAGCTGTAGTGCACTATGATCAACACCTGTGAATAACCACTGCACTGTAGCTGGGGCAACACAGCAAAACTTCATCTCTTAAAAAAAAAAAAAGATCATCCTTATGATTGCGTAAATAATTTTATGGGTTTTTAGGGGGAAGAGGAACAAAGTAGGAGGGGCAGTCTGATGATTTCAAGATATATTAGGACTGGCTGGGTGCAGTGGCTCACACCTGTAATCCTAGCACTTTGGGAGGCCCTGGCAGGCGCATCACTTGAAGCCAGGAGTTCAAGACTATCCTGGGCAACATAATAAGACTCCCTCTTTACAAAACATTTTTAAAAACTACTGAGGCATGGTGGCACACACCTGTGGTCCCAGCTATTCTGAGGGCTGAGGTAGGAGAATCACTTGAGCCCGGGAGTTCAAGGTTACAGTGAGCTATGATCACACCACTGTACTCCAGCCTAGGTGACAGCAAGACCCTATCTCTTTAAAAAAAAAAAAAAAGATAATTTTAGTACACGTATAGTAATTCTGCAGTTAGAGTATGGTTGTAGTTTGTAACAGCCTTGCAAGATAAAGGCCAGTAGTCATGATCCTTTATGTGAGACAACTCTGGCACAGAATTGTCAGACGGTGGCTCGCAGAACGTTTGGTTGACTAGGCTTTCAAGTGTTACAAAATTATCGCACCTCTGGACCCTGTAGGCTTGACCAGGACTAATTAAACTCCTTGCCCAGAACTACGCAGTAGAGGTGGAACTAGAACTTTATTTATTACTTACCTTTTTTTTTTTTTTGAGTCGGCGTCTCACTCTGTTGCCCAGGCTAGAGTGCAGTGGCACACTCATGGCCATCACAGCCTCAACCTGTGGGCTCAGGCAATCCTTCCGCCTCAGCCTTCCAAGTAGCTGGATCTACAGGTATGCACCACCATGCCCAGCTAATTCGTTTATTTTTATTGTAGAGACAAGGTCTCACCAAGTTGCCCAGTCTGGTCTTGAACCCCTGGGCTCAGGCAATCCTCTCGCCTCTGCCTCCCAAAGTGCTATGAATATATGCATGAGCCGCTGCACCTGGCCAGAACTAGAACTTTAAATGCAGCAGCGCCTGGTACTTTATCAGGTATAACACAGTATCAATTCACATTCCTACCCTGGGTTATTAATGTCTTTGTACAACCACATTAATGAGATCCATTTTCTATTCTTTGCAAAAGACAGAATTAGGTTCTGTGGGAAATGCAGAATTGTGATACTTAAATAAAAAATTAATTTGTAGTTTTAATTGTTTAACTTCTGTGAACTTTGATACAATTACTTCTAACAAAAATTATTTTTCACTAATAAGTGAGTTCAAAAAATTTTCTGGCCAGTATTTGAGGTCAGTTTCTTTTACTTTCAAGGCTTATTTTAAGGCCTGGCGCAGTGGCTTATACCAATAATCCCAGCACTTTGGGAGGTGGAGGTGAGAGGATTGCCTGAGCCCAGCAGTTCAAGACCAGCTTGGGCAAAATGGCGAGACCTCATCTCTAGATTAAAAAAAAAAAATTAGTTGGATTTGGTGGCATGTGCCTGTAGTTCCAGCTGCTTGGAAGGCTAAGGCAGAAGGATCACCAGAGCCCACAGGTCAAGGCTGCATTGGCCATGAGCGTGCCATTGCACTCCAGCCTGGGTGATAGAGTAAGACACTGAGTCCAAAAAAAATATTTTAATTAATTTCTTAGTAGAACACAACTTGTGTATAGTATGAATTTCTTCTTTTTAATTTCAGAAAGAAATCTTTTTTTAATCCAACAGATGAGAACATCCCATCAAGCTACTTAAGCAAAAACATTTTGGCTTTCTGTGATCAGAACATTCTCCTGGGTACAACTTATAGGATCATGGCTCACGCTCTCAGCAGTGAGCCAGCCTGCCTTGCTGAAGTGGAAGACAGCAAGGCAAGAAGAATCTTGGAGCTTTCTGGATCCAGTTCAGAGGATACAGAGAAGGTAATGCATGCTGGAAGTGTTTCATGTTTGTGTGCTGTGTGTGTCTTTCATGTGCAGCCTTCAGGTTGCAGGAAAGTAATAATGAGGGCATTGCTTTGTGTTTTTAAAATATGTTTCTTTTGTGGGAAATTGACATACTCTGTTTCCTGTTGATTTGAATGATAACAGATCTTTAAATGTTAAAACTGAGATGTTTATCATTTTTGTTGGATTGATGTAGACAGTTCTTTCATGAATTTGGTTAATGAATTTTTTTTGAGTTGGAGTCTCACTCTGTTGCCCAGGCTGGAGTGCAGTGGCACACTCACAGCCACCACAGCCTACACCTGCTTGGGCTCAGGCAGTCCTTCCACCTCAGCCCTATGTTCGTGAAATTTCACCACCCATCACCATTGAGACGTCCCACCAGCTTCTGGGGCAAATCAGCATTTTCCACTTTCTACTTAGTGCCGGCTTTGCTTAAGCGTCTTTCGGATCATTTTGTATTCTGACAGGCACCTGCTTCCTCTCCAGCTCACCCGTCCTGCCTCACGTTAGTTGTGTGGCCTTGTTTTCTCCTTCTGATCTATTCATTCAAGTGGTGCAGGCCGGCCTCCGCCTCCCTGGTTCCCCGCAGCCACATGCCTGCTGACCGGGTCCTGCTCTGTGTGGCTTGTGCACCACCCGGTCCATGCCAGACATGTGCGTTTTTGTCTGGGCGGTCACGTGCTCAGGTGCTCAGGATCTTACTGGAACTGCACACTCTTTTATAGCCAGGGCAGGTTTTCCTTTTCTGGTTAAATAGCTTTTGGTGTTATTTTGGAGCTGTTGATCTATCTGCATCGTGAATCATAAGTGGAAAGTAGAGTTCTTTGAGCAATCTTCACTTGCACTCACAGGTTGTCTGAATTGTCTGTGAATTTCAGGTGATCACAGGTCTGTACCAGAAGGCATTCCTTCACCTCACCAAGGCCGCGCAGGCGACTGAGGAGGAGACCCAGCCTTCCTCCTGGGACCACGGGCCTGCAGTCAGGGTGATTGATGCGTACATGACGCTGGCAGATTTCTGTGACCAGCAGCTGCGCAAGGAGGAAGAGAATGCATCAGGTAATACTGAAAGAAAAAAAACTAGTATTCTGTTATGTCAGCACTAAGACTTATGAATTATGTGGATACTTTGGGCTTCCTGTTTGTTTTCCAATGAAAAATATTTTGGGAGAAGTCTGTTGTCTTTTTAAGAGACAGTGGCCTCTTGAGGAACATGAACTGCATTTAAATGGAGTCGGGCTGTCTCCTCTGTTTGCATTTGCTTAATTGGTACTTTCACATTCTGCTTGCAGCTCCACTGTTACTGGCTCATGTGGCCTGCCTCTTGCTCCTAGAGTAAACTCATAACCAGTAGCTGCACCTTAGGTTCCCAGCCCAGGATACAGACTGCTCCATGCAGAAGGGGGACTCTCATGGGAGGATTCAGCTTCAGGGTAGAAGCACTGACATGTGTCTGGTGTTCATGGTCTAAAGTGGAAATATAAAAGAGAACAGTGACGTATGACAAAATAGAAACCAGAAAGGGAAAATGTAATCATTTGTTAAATTTATTATTTTTAAATAAGTAAATATGTTGACCCTTGTTCTTTGCTGTCCTTGATAGTTGCTGATTCTGTAGAAATGCAGGCATATCCAGCACTTGTGGTGGAGAAAATGTTGAAAGCTTTAAAACTGAATTCCAACAAAGCCAGGCTGAAGTTTCCTAGATTACTTCAGATTATAGAACGGTATCCAGAGGAGACTTTGTGCATCATGACAAAAGAGGTTGGTCTATTTATTCAAGTGAGTAGAAAGGGACTTTCTAGAACTAAAGACACTTTTATTTATATCCAAACATACTACTGTGTACAATGCATACATTATAATTTGATTCATCCAACCACCATTGAATTCTGCTACATTCTAAGGACATGGGCAATTTAAAGCATGTAAAAGAGTGTTCACATTCACCCATTTTCCTCTGTGGGTGTTGATAAGGCCGCTGTGTCTGAACAGGGAACCAAAGAAGTGGCAGTGAGGCATGGGAACAGAGACGTTGGCCTTGTGTGGGACAGCTTCCTGCCCATGCAGGTGAAGCTGTGGTCTGTAATGTCTGCGGGTGCTTTATGACGTCTGTCATTGAACCTAGGGGTGGGATGAGCAAGTTGGAGCTGCATCCCACACCTGGTGCGTGTAGCCCCCATGTCCGGAGGGCCCAGGTCCCGTGAGCGAGAGCCACGTGTGGTGTGGGGACAGCCCGCTCGTTGCCACGCCTGCTGCCGTCACCCCCCAGGGCTTCCTTGCTGGCCGCACTCCTGTCCTTGGGGCTCTGTGTGCAGGAGGGTTCTGTTGGTGTCACCTGCAAAGTGTGGAAGGCCATCTGAGGGGCTTCTTAGTTGACTTTACAGGTGTACAGTCTAGAAAATAAGGCCAAGCTTTGAGTTCAGAGCATTACGTGGTTCTCTCCTGGCTTTACATAGTAGATTTTTAAATAGTGCTGGTCTCTGGGCTGAGGAGATACAACATGACTATCAGGGCCCTAACTGCACCCACCGTCCTTGTGTGGATTCTGAGTAGCAGGCTTTCTCTGTGGGTTTTGAAAAGAGATTGGGGTAAATTCTGAAATGTACCATATATATGTTTTTCTTAAAAATAAGAGAACAAATAGTTAAAAAACTTCATTTTTTAAAAAAGATGTGGGGTAAAATTTAGGGTTAGGTATATAAATGTTCATTATGCAGGTTACCGTTGCTGAGGTGTGCCCCTCCCTCTCCTAGCTGTTTCCCTCAGCTGTCAACCCCACCCCCCCAGCAGTTTCCCACTACTGCCAATTCCTTTCTTATAGCATTGTGGTTTTTGTTTTTTGAGTTGGAGTCTCACTCGGTCACCCAGACTGGAGTGCAGTGGCCGCTCCCAGCCACCGCAGCCTCGACCTGCTGGGCTCCGGTGATCCTTCCGCTCAGCCTTCCACGTAGCTGGAATTACAGACGTGCGCTACCACGCCCGGTTGATTTTTTTATTTATTGTAGAGATGAGGTCTCGCCAAGTTGCCCAGGCGGGTCTCGAACCTGCAGGCTCAGGCAATCCATTCACCTTGCCTCCCAAGGCGCAGGATTACAGGCTGAGCCACCAAGCCCGGCTTAGTATTGTTAATTGTTCAAGGTCCGCTGACATGAGTGAGAACATGTAGTACTCAATTCTTTGTTTCTGTGATAGATCACTGAGTATTATAGACTCTTAAGGCCATCCAAGTTGCTGCAAAGCTGATAATTTTGTCCTTCTTTATAGCTGCATAATATTCTATTGTGTATATGTACCACTTATTTTTTTTATCCAGTCCCCTTTCGATGGGCGGCACTGGTTCCATGTATTTGCTATTGTGAATAACGCTGCAGTAAACATGCATGTGCAGGTATCTTTTTCATAGAGTGATTTGAGTTCCTCCAAGTATATTCCCAGAAGGGGGATTGTGGGCTTGTACAGAAGGTTGATTTTTAGATCTTTTAGGAATCACCAAACTGTTTTCCACAGAAGTTGTACTAGTTTACACTCCCACCAACAGTGTAGAAGTGTTACCCTTCCCCCTCATCCTCTCTGGCATCTGTTATTTTTTGAGTTATTGATGACAGCCTTCCTGACTGGAGTTAGGTGGTAGGTATCCCAGTGTGGTTTTATTTGCATTTCTTTGATGACAATTGAGCCTGAGCATTTTGTCATGTATCTGTTGGCTGCTTGTAGGTCTTCTTTTGCGAAGTGTCTATTCATATCTTCTGCCCACTTTGTAATAGGGCTGTTTGTTTTTTTCTTTTCAGCATGTTTTAGCTCCTTGTAAATCCTAGGTGTTAGACCTTTGTCAGATATACAGTTGGCAAATATTTTTTCTCATTCTGTGGGCTGTCTTCTTACTCTCTTGATGGTTTCTTTGGCTATGCAGAAGCTTCTCAGTTTGATGAGGTCCCACTTGTCTATCTTATCTCTTATGGCATGTGCACTTGGGGTTTTGATCAGGAATTGGTTGCCAGTTCCGATTTCCATAAGGGTGTCTCCTGCATTTTCTAAGGTTCTAGAAAATAGTTTGAGGTTTTATATTTAGGTCTCTAATCCATTTAGAATTAATTTTTGTGTAAGTGGAAAGATAGGGTAGGGGTCCTGTTTGAATCTTCTGCATATGGTCAACCAGTTTTCCCAGCACCATTTCCTGAATAGGTTCTCCTCTCCCCACCATTTCCTGAATAGGTGGAGACTTTGTCAAAGATGAGCGGACTGAGAAATTGAGGCTTTGCTTCTGGAATCTCTATACTGGGTGATTGTTGAGATGTATTGTTGGATCCAGTTTGCTAGAATCTTGTTGAGAATTTTTGCATCTATATTCATCAAGTATATTGACCTGTAGTTTTCTTTCTTTGTTGGATCTTTATCCAGTTTGGGTATCAATGTGATGTTAGCTTCATAAGATGATTTGGGACAGTTCCATCTTTCTCGATTGCCTGGAATACTTTCAATAGGATTGGTATCAGCTCCTCCTTGTATGTTTTGTAGAAGTCTGCTGGAAAGCCATCTGGTCCAGGGCTTTTTTTTGTAGGTAGTTTTCTTATGACATAGTCAATTTCCTGGGTGGTTATTGGTCTAATTTAGGGCCTGATTTCCTCTTGTTTCAACCTTGGGAGGTTGTGTGATGTCTGAATGCCCTCCATTTCATTTAGGTTTTCAAGTGTGTTTCCATACAAGTGTACATAGTAATCTCTGATAATCTTTTGTATTTCTTTGGGGTCAGTTATGACTTGATCTTTTGCGTTTCTGATTGTGTTTATATGGGCTTTTTCTCTCTTTTTCTTGGTCAGTCTAGCTAGGAGTCCATCAATTTTGTTTATCCTTTCAAAAAAGCAGCTTTTTGTTTCATTGATTTTTTTGGTATTATATTTTTGTCTTCTATGTCCCGAATTTCAGGTTTTATTTTGGTGAAATAGATTCTTCTGGTGAAGTTAGGATTTTGGTGGTTTTGCTTTTCCAGCTTCCTTAAGTGATTTTTTTAGGCTATTAACTTGTGATCTTTCCATTTTCTTCATGTGTGTTTGTAGAGATATTAATTCCCCTCTTAGTACTGTTTTCATGGCATCCCAGAGATTTTGGCAAGGTGTTTCTTCATTTTCATTTGTTTCCAGGAATCTTTTAATTTCAGTTTTGAATTCTGTGTTGACCCGTGAGTTGTTCAGCATCATGCTGTTTAGTGTCCATGTCTTTGTGGGTTTTGGAGGAACTTTGTTGGTGTTGATATTTATTTTTATTTCTCTGTGGTCTGAGAACGTACATGGCAATATTTCAATCTTGTGAAATTTGTTTATGCTTGATTTATGACAAAGGATGTGGTTGATCTTAGAGTACATTCCATGTGATGATGAGTAGACAGTATATTCCATAGTTGTTGGGTGGAATGTTCTATAGGTATCTTTTAAGTTCTCTGGTCAAGTGTCACATTGAGGTTCCGGATCTCTTTCTTGATTTTTTTTTTTTTTGTCTTTTTTATCTGTCTAAGGTTGTTAGTGGGGTACTTAAGTCCCCAGATATGATAGTGCTAGAGTCAGTATCTTATTTTAGTTCACCTAGGAGCTGCTTTATGAAAGTTGGTGCTCCTATGTTGTATACATATATGTTTAGGATAGGTATTTCTTGTTGATTGATTGACCCTTTTATCATTATGTAGGACCTTCCGTATCTTTTTAAATTTTTGATAGCTTAAAGGCTATTTTGTCTGATATTAAGAACACAACTCTTGCTTTCTTTTGTGTCCATTTGCCTGAAAATTTGTTTTCCATCCTCTTACTTTGAGCCTGTGAGCATCCTTTCTGGTGAGATGAGTCTCTTGGAGACAACATGTTGTTGTATCATGATATTTTATCCAATTTGCCATTCTTACCTTCAGGCTAATTATTAAGATGTGAGAGTTTATCCCTGTCATGAGATTCTTATAACCTTTGTGTTGTTGCTGCTATTTATTTGTTTGTTGTCTTTCTTTTGATTTTTGAGTTGATTTTTGTGTGTTTTCAATCTTTTTACTGCATTCTTATAAAGGGCTTTGTCGTTCTTTTTTTCTTTCTTTCTTCCTTCTGTGTTTAATACTTTAAGTGTTTCTTGTAGAGCTGGCCTAGAGATGGCATAAATTCTTAGGGATTGAACATCTGGGAAGGATATTAATTCTCCATCGCTAATGAAACAGCATAGCTGGGTAGGAAATTCTTGATTGAAATTGTTTACCTTTGAGAACTTTGAAAATTGGACTCCAGTCTCCTCTAGCCCGCCGTGTTTCTATAGATAAATCTGCTGCTGTTCTAATTTGTCTTCCCTGATAGGTAATCTGATCTTTCTCATTTAGGATTGCACATTTAGGATTTTTTTCTTTCATACCTACTTACTTGGTGTAAGCTAATTACTATGTGTCTAGGTGTTGGTCTTCTCATTTAATGCCTTGCAGGGGTTCTCTGAATCTCTTGTGTTTGAGTGGTCACATCTCTGATGAGACAAGGGAAGTTTTCTTGGATAATTTTATGGAATGTTTGTTCCAGGGTGGTCTCTGTCTCTCTGTCTGCCTCAGTGATTCCAATTAATGATAGGTTTGGCCTCTTGATATAATCACTCATCTCTTGGAGGCTTTGTTCTGTCTCTTTAAGCTTCTTTTCTGTGTTTTTAACAGTTTGGGTTAGTTCCATATTTTGGTCCTGAAACTCTGAGATTCTTTCTTCTGGTTGGTTAATTTTGCTTTCCATGCTTATCAATTTGTTGTTTACTTCATTCACTGCATCCTTTATTGCTGTTATCTCAGTTGTCAACTTCTTCATTCTTTCCTCTTGTCTCTCTTCATTTCTAGTCATTCTCTCTATTAATATCTTGAAATCTGGGTTTGTGGTTTGAGATCAGTCATTCTGGGGGCTCTTCAATGCTTGAGTTCTGAAGTCTGTATTCTCATTTTTTCCCAGGAGTCTGTATGGGACCCATATTCTTCCTTTGGTTTTTCTTCTTTTGTGTAGGTCCCCCCCCCCTTTTAAACCTCTTCTTTAATTCTGCTGTTCAGTCAGAGCGGAGATAGCTTTTACTTCTATTTGCTCAATCACCTGTTTTTCCTCATGTAGATCCTCTGACTTTATTCAATTTTGAAGCTGGACTGGCAATGAGGGGGCTGTGCTTTTTACAGTTTTGAGATTTAATTAAGGGGAAACTGTGATTCAGAGCTATCTGCAGATCTTAATATTTGCTGACAGATGTATGGGCCCCCAGAAACCCACTTTCCATCACCTTACAATCTGTCCACGTAGTGGGGGTGTATGTTTGCCCCCTTAAAGTGAAATGAGATAAGAAAAAGGAAAAGAATGGAAAAAGGAAGGAGGAAGATGAAAGGAAGGTGGAAAGAGAGAAGACAGAAACCAGACATGCATACCAACTAACAAATAAACAGAGAAACAAAGAAAAAAAAAACCACAGTATACAATCATATAAACAAACAGCAACAACAAAAAAATCCTGTTGATGTCCTTGCCCTCAAAAATACCCATCCACAAATAGAAAATCTGAAAGAAAAAAAAAATAGCAGAAACAAAGCAAGTATGAAAATGTAAACAAAACAGAAAGAAAGAAGAGAAAAAACCCCAAAACTAAAGCTAAAACAACAAAAAACTCGCTCTGTGGTTGTTTCTGTAACTCCAGGTCCCTTTTGGCTTCTGTCACCATGTTAAAGGAGTGGCTGTGGTCTCCTGCTTGTCCCCTCCATTCTCAGCATAGGCCAATAGGGTTGCTCTCGGCATGGGTCAGATGCCTCACAGACTATTGTGGGAAGAGGATAGATCAGATCTGGACTCATGCAGCTCTGCTGCTTCTGCTGTTGTTGTCAAGTCCCCCACTCAGATCTGACATGCCTGTGCCTGTTCCAGCATGGGGGAGGGGCGTCTGTCTCTCCAGGTCCCAGTGGGGGTGTCCTCTGGGTCCCAGGTTGGAGGCCAGACAGAGCTGGGCGGGGCACTGCAGGTCTCTGCCCAGTCCTGGGACAGAGATGGTGGCGCCAGTCTGCTTCTCTTCACCAGTGGCAGGGCTGCATTCCAGATTTTCACACCCTGCCTTTTCCATGGCTCCTGGGGCTTGTGCCCAGTCTGCTGCCGCGGGTGATGGCATGGGCTAGGTGCCAGGTAGTGAGGAGCAGCTGTTCTCTGTGCCTCCTCTCAAGAGAGCCTGGAGAATGGCAGACAATCCTGCACTCAGGGGGCTCCAGTCTCAGGGCAGTGGTGGGTTGTGGTTACCTCCGGAAGAGAGCCCTGGGTGCACAAACCCAAGTCTCCCCTCAGACGGACTTTCACCCACCCACCAGCACCCCCACTCATACAGAGAGTCTGTGTGCACACTCGTTTTCGCGGAGACTCATACTTCAAACCTGTTCCCTTGCCCTCTTGCCTCTTCCCCATCACTATGGTTTTATTGGCTCCAAAATGACTTTATCTATGATAAAAATAGCACTTTGAATTTGTGAGAAAATAAGTGGAGTATTTCCTCATGATTATTGGGACACCTGGTAGATACTTGCAGTGGAGCAGCTGGCCTCTTTTATGTGCTCATGTGAGCTGTGTGGGTTGGCGTGTCTCTTCCTCACATTCCACACCGTCCTCGGCTCCCAGACACGGTCAGGAAGCTTGCCCGCTCTCGCCTCATGCCAGCACTCCAGGTATGCCAGGTTTTATCTTTAAAAGGACACCCTAAAAGTGTTGGAGGAAAGCACGAACGCCTTTTTCAAATGGTCTTGGAATAAAGAGGTGAAATCCAGGAGGCACAAAGGAAAACAATGGACACTTCCATACAGAAAAATAAAATGTCATATACGAAGTTGAACAAACTGAAAAAAAAAATCAAGATTTATGAGCAGCAAAGAGGTGACATCTCCTGTCTACAAAATAAATGGTCATAGTAGACCAGTAGAAGATGGTCAGAGGAAATGCATACATGATAAGGCAAATCAACATGGAATGTTCAGCCTCACTGAGAATGAAATGTGAAAATGTAAATTGGATGTTTTCCACTTCTCAGATTGACAGTGATTTTAAAAGTTCATTGTGTCCCATGTTGGTAGGAATTTAGGATTACAGTCAATGTAATACTTTTAGGAATGAAAATTTGAGAAATGTTTTTAGAGGGAAATCTAAAATGTTAATTATAATTGTTAAGGTTCACACTGTGATTTTGGTTCTAGGAATTTATCCAACAGGCATATACCACAAGTACAGTGAAGTATATTTATAGGAATGTTCATTAACATTACTTGTAAAAGCAAACAATTAGAAAAGATTCATTTTAAGCTGGGCTCGGTGGCTCATCCTGTAATCCTGTGCTTTGGGAGGCTGAGGTGAGCGGATTGCCTGAGCCCGTGGGTTCGAGATCCGCCTGGGCAACTTGGTGAGACCTCATCTCTACAATAAATCAAAAAATCAGCCGGGCATGGTAGCACGTGCCTGTAATTCTGGCTACTCAGAAGGCTGAGGCGGAAGGATCGCCAGAGCCCAGCAGATTGAGGCTGCAGTGGCCAGGAGCGGCCACTGCACTTCAGTCTGGGTGACAGAGTGAGACTCCAACTCAAAAAAAAAAAAATTGATTTTAGAGAATAGTAAAATAAGATGGAATAAGAATACAGCTAGTAAAAGGAATGAGGTAACCTACCTATACATCCATTTAAGAAAAACGAGCAACAGCATATCTAGTGTGATTCTTGTTAAAAAAAAAAAAATACACACATGCAAAACAGGATATGGCTGGGTGTAGTGGCTCATGCCTATAATCTCAGCACTTTGGAAGGTTGAGGTGGGAGGATCACTTGAGCCCATGAGTTCAAGATCAGCCTAGGCAACATAGTGAGATCACATCTCTACCAAAAAAAAAAAGCGATATGTGTGCAGATGCACAGCGGTGTCTGAGAGGATCCAGTGGTTGCCTTCACTGGAGCAAGCTGAGGCATAGAAGACTTTTTATCTTGTGTTTCTGTTTTTTTGTCTTATTGGACATATACTACTTCCGCAATAATACAGTGTTAGATGTTTTATTCATTGTTAAGTCACTGCTCTCTGTTTTAGATGTCTTCCATTCCCTGCTGGCAGTTCATTGGCTGGATCAGCCACATGGTGGCCTTACTGGACAAGGACGAAGCTGTGGCTGTTCAGCACACTGTGGAAGACATTGCTGATAACTACCCCCAGGCAATTGTGTATCCTTTTATAATAAGCAGTGAAAGTTATTCCTTTAAAGATACTTCTGCCGGTCATAAGAATAAGGAGTTTGTGGCAAGGTAATATTACAGAAAAATTTGGTTGATCAAATACTGCAGGTTTTCAAAAAGTATATATTTTGTATATTAATGTATATATTTTAAAATGTGTATATTCCACCCAGCACATAGACGCTTATGTTTCCTTTTTTTTTTGCTTCCCAACTCTGGGGTCTCATTCTGCCGCCCAGGCTGAAGTGCAGTGACACAGTCACGGCTCGCTGCAGCCTTGACCTTCTGGGCTCAGGCAATTCTTCTGCCTCAGCCTTACCAGTAGCACAGGTATGCACATACCACACTCAGCTAGTTTTTCGATTTTTTATAGTGACAGAGGCTTGCTGTGTTTCCCAGGCTGGCCTCGAACTCCTGGGCTCAAGCGATCCTCCCATCTTGACCTCCCTGATTACTGGGATGAGGCATGAGCCAATGTGCCTGACCAACTTGTGTTTTCAAATTATAGCGCTATCACTGAAGAACAGGAAATCCTAGACATCTGTTGAATGTATCTACTCTGGTTGTCACTTGCTGTAGGATTTATCTCTTTTTAAAATGCTTTTCGTCTTGCGGTGTTATTCGTGAAACATTCTACCCTTATGTGCATAGTTATTACCCTGATGGTTGAGACAGACTAGGTGAGATACTTTTTAAAATGAATTCCTGAAATTGTGCTTTAATGTAAAAGATATAGGAAGACTCCCCTTTATAATTGGACTCAGTAGACATCCTGAAGTGTCATCCTGTTGATTTCCCTGGTTGATAGCTGAGTAAGACAGCTGACAAACGAGCAGTGGTGAATCACTTTTGCAAGAGTGCTTTGTGAGTGCATGGTGTTTCATTGACATTCTCCATCAAGAGCTTTTTTTGTCGTGAGCTCATTTGTCTCAGCCTTTTGAGTGCTTTGATTTTGAGAAGACGAGCAGGAGGGAGACCCTGTTTTTGTCCAGTTTGTGGATGGAGTGGCTGTGCACACACCACCTCCGGCTTCCAAGGCTTTGCCCCTGTACCATAGTGGAACAGTCACCTGCAACGGGATTGTTTTTAAAAAGTGAAAGAATAGAAAGATATTTGAAAGAGAATATGTCAAGTGACCTTTCCTTTTGTAACATATCTTCAGGAACTGTTTACATCAAATTGTCTACATCAGTTGCAAGAAGATTTCTGAGAGCCTCACCTCTTAACAGAATAGATATTTCATTCTTCATTTGTAACTATATGAAGTATACATCATCTTATATATATATGTGTGTGTGTTATAGGCTTTGATTTTTGGGAGATGTTTGATTACCTAAACTTGATAAATTTTGTTATAGGATTAAAACCAAGTTGGACCAAGGAGGAGTGATTCAAGATTTTATCAATGCCCTAGACCAGCTCTCTAATCCCGAATTACTCTTTAAGGTAATAGAACAGCTTCTAGCACATAAAACAGAACTTGAGTAAAAATTAATTGCAATCTAGATTGTTGGGTTTTTTTCCTTTTCTTTCCACACAGGACTGGACCAATGATATAAACGCTGAACTAGCACGAACCCCTGTAAACAAAAAAGCCATTGAGAAAATGTATGAAAGAATGTGGGCAGCCCTGGGTGACCCACAGGCTCCAGGCCTGGGGGCCTTCAGAAGGACGTTTATTCAGGTATGGGTGGGCACAGCCTTCTTCTGTGAGAACAGAGTCCTTGTGACAGTCAGTATTTACACTCAGTGTTTTCTTAACGTTCTGGATTTCTTTCTTTTTTTTTTTTTTTTTTTTTGAGTTGGAGTCTCACTCGGTCGCCCAGACTGGAGTGCAGCGGCCGCTCCTGGCCACCGCAGCCTCGACCTGCTGGGCTCCGGTGATCCTTCCGCCTCAGCCTTCCGAGTAGGCGGAATTACAGGCGTGCGCTACCACGCCTGGCTGATTATTTGATTTATTGTAGAGATGAGGCCTCACTGCCCAGGCAGGTCTCGAACCCGCGGGCTCAGGCAATCCACTCACCTCAACCTCCCAAAGGCGCGAAATTACGGGCTGAACCACTGAGCCCGGCACGTTCTGGATTTCAAATGTCTGTTCAGTTTTGAACTTGCTTTAGATCTGATGCTTTCTACAATACATTGATAGCATACTTACAGGTTAGCTCCACATGCTACTCAAGGAAAGCAAAACTATGTAAATCTTAAAAGCACAGAGGAAATCTATAGAATTGGGCATGTGTTTATTACAAACATTTTTAAGTTAGAACCTTTTTCCAAAGTTCAAACTAAACGTTAATCTCTGTGATAAATTATTATTCATGTTAGGCCTTTGGAAAAGAATTTGATAAGCACTTTGGGGAAAGAGGTACTAAGCTGCCCAGCATGAAGCTCAGCGACTTCAACAACATTACCAGTTCTCTGCTTTCTAAAATGAACAAATATGCAAAGCCACCTGGGAATCTGAAAGAATGCTCGCCCTGGCTGAGCAACTTCAGAGTGGAGTTCCTGAGAGATGAGCTGGAGATTCCTGGTGAGTTAACCTCCAGGGGTGACACAACCATGCTGTGACAACAGTGTCATAGCAAGATCTCTTGGTTTCTGGACTGATCACATTGGTATCTTGGCAGTTATCTCTCTTTTTGTTAAGAAGTTTGAATTTCACTTCATCATCAGGAAAAATCTGTAATACTATGAATTAGCACACTTTATTAAATGTCTAATGAGATCATAATTTTTTTATATTCCTGATTATGATAAGTATCTAGATTTCCTTTTAGTAATAATGGTAACCAGGATCATAGGTTTCCTATGAAAACGTACTCATGCTTTGCTCCTGAATAACTTTTTCGGGTTATTTCCTAGGATGTACACGTCAGCCCCATTTAAATTGTCAAGCTAGTGATCAATGACTTACCTGTAGAAAACAGGATTGTGACATTGAGAATAAAGACACACAGCACATTGGCTAGATGTGAAGCCTGGTTTTTCAGAGGGAATCTATGTACAGTCCATGTTCTTCACCCTGGAATTTCCCAGAGGAAAAAATGTCTTAATCTGGTTATTCGTGTTCTCATTGAGGGTATGTAAGAAAAAACATATTTGGAGAAAAACTTTTCTCTGTTATTATGAACATCTGTGCGGTTACATGCAGTCAGTTTCAAGAAAAACACTTAAGTGTAAGCCTCGTGCTGTGCAGCTTTTTTGGCCTTGAGAAAATGCAGTGTTTTATTTCTGTTTGGAATTTGTCTATGCTATTAGAATAGGACACTAACAGCCATTGATCAGTCAAATGGAGAAATAGTAACATGAAAAAAATAAGACTATTTCCTTTCAATGAAAACTTGTGGTAAAAAAATTTTATGTTAGATTAGATTCTTAAAAATTGGGTCAAGAGACATGGTTTAAGTACAGGGACTGTCTAACACAGGCTATATCTGAGCAACTGTTTGGTTTGTTCTAGGTCAGTACGATGGCAGGGGCAAGCCATTGCCCGAGTACCATGCACGGATCGCTGGGTTTGATGAGCGGGTAGGTGTAGGTGTAAAGGCTTGCAGCCTGTCCCCATCGTGAGATTGTCAGTGGTGGGGCGTAGCTCTTCACGGATGAGAATGGTCTATTTGCCTACTAAAGAAGAGACAGTTGTAACCCCTTCCCTGTTTTAAACCAAGGATACTTTTCAGCGGTGCTTCCAGCTATAGCGTTTATCCTGAGATTTTTTTTTTTGAGTCGGAGTCTCACTCGGTCGCCCAGACTGGAGTGCAGTGGCCGCTCCCGGCCACCGCAGCCTTGCCTGTTGGGCTCCGGCGATCCTTCTGCCTCGGCCTTCCAAGTAGCCGGAACTACAGGTCTGCTGATTTTTTGATTGATTGTAGAGATGAGGTCTCGCTGCCCAGGCGGGTCTCGAACCCGCGGGCTCAGGCCATCCACTCACCTCAGCCTCCCAAAGGCGCGGGATTACAGGCTGAGGCACCGAGCCCAGCTAGCCTGAGATTTTTTAAAAAGAGGATTACTATGTTTTAGTAATCCTCAAGTTCTGTTTAGAAAGAACTCTGAGAGCAGTTTTTATATTTTATTTTCACATTGGGGAAACCAGTCAGATTTGCTTCAGCCTCAAAAGGTTGTATTTATGTAAAATTAAATGAACAAGGCAGCAAGTTGCACTTTTTTTTTTTCTTCTAAACGGGTAAAGGGTTAACTTTCCAAGTTGATCTCTAAGGTATGGAGTTTTCTAAGTCGAGTCTTTACAGAATTTCTTTCTTTTTTAAAAAAAGTTTTAATTTTTTTAGAGACAGGGTCTCGCTCTATTACCCAGACTGGATTGCACTGGTACAATCAGAGCTCACTCAAGCAATCCTACCTTCTTAGTAGCTAGGACATACCACTATGCTCAGCTTATTTTTTTATTTTTTGTTGAGACAGCATCTTGTTGTATTGCCCAGGGCTGGTTTCAAACTCCTGGGCTCAAGCAAACCTCCTGTCTTGGCCTCCCAAAGTGCTGGGATGACAGGTGTACACCACTGCACCCAGCCTTGAATTTAATATCTCCAGTGTTTCAGAAACAATCAGGCCGGGCTCAGTAGCTCAGCCTGTAATCCCAGCACTTTGAGAGGCCGAGGTGAGTGGATGGCTTGAGCCCTCAGGTTTGAGACCAACCTGGGCAACTTGACGAGACCTCATCTCTACAATAAAATTAAAATATTAGCCAGGCATGGTAGCGCGTGCCTGTAGTTCCGGCTACCTGGAAGGCTGAGGCGGAAGGATCACCAGAACCCAGCAGGTCGACACTGGGGTGGCCATGAGAGTGCCACCGTACTCCAGCCTGGGCGACAGAGTGAGACTCCAACTCGGGGGGAAAAATCATATTTAAGGTTATAAATAAACTCAAAGAGTGAGCAGTATGTGAGTATCCATTATAAAAAATGTGTAGAATTAAGTAGAAAACTTGTATGTTGGATATTGCTTGTTGCTAAAGATATATAAGTGGATCTATAGGTAATTATTTAATCAGGAATATGAAGTGTTCACAGGCACAGCAGTCAGGCATGAACAGGTTACAGAAATACTGTGCTGGCCCTAAAGTCTGCTGCCCTAGGCTCTCTGTTCTTTTCTGTCACCTGACTCTGTCTGTGAGGAATGCACAGAACCGGCCTTCCCTTTCTCCTTCCCCCCCCGCCCCCAAAATAGTGATGGGTTCTTGCTATCCCACAGTCTGGTCTTGGACTCCTGGGCTCAAGCTGCTCTTCCACCTTGGCCTCCCAAAGTGCTGGGACCATAGGCATGAGCCACCCAACCCAGCCTCTTTTCTCCCTGTGACAGTGATAGAACGGACTAGTCTCGGATTGCACCTAAAACATTTTCTCATTTTTAAAGGTGAAAGTATTGGTGTCGATCAGAAAACCGAAGTGCATCGTGATCCGCGGCCATGATGAGAAGGAGTACCCTTTCCTAGTGAAAGGCGGAGAGGACCTTCGGCAGGACCAGCGCATCGAGCAGCTCTTCGAGGTCATGAATGTCATCCTGTCCCGCGATGCTGCTTGCAGTCAGAGAGACTTGCGGTTACGCACGTACCGTGTCGTGCCCATGACCTCCAGGTGCGGCCCAGGCTGAGGCCTCATGGACTGTCCTGAGATGGGCTTGGAGGCCCCTGACAAGCTTGAGGCCCACGGGGTGCCAAACAGAACTAAGAGGCACTTGCGAACCTGCGTGGGGAGCGTGGGTGGAGAAAGGACATGAGAAGTCTGTGTTACTTTCACTCTACAGAACTTTTTTTCTGGTGAAGAAAGAGCGTTTGGATTTATTGCAGACTTTATTTTCCCTTTCAGGTTAGGGTTAATTGAATGGATTGAAAACACGACCACCTTGAAGGACCTTCTTTTGAGTACCATGTCACAAGAGGAGAGAGTGGCTTATAACAGGTAACGTGAAGCCCGGCTGCTCCTTCTCCAGCACCACCCCCATCCCTGCTGCCACAGGGCCACCCAAACGCACAGTCCCCCTCAGCAGGGCCGTCTCTTGTGCGGTGCCTTCACTCCGCTTCCAGCGACAGGTTGGGACCCCAACCTGCCTGTCCTTTCCCCTCCCTCTGTTCCCCTCCCTCTGGCTGGTGAAGAGCCAAACGGAGTGGGGGTGCGGAACTGTAGTTGCAGATATTCTGCCACAATGAAAAAGTGTTAACTTTGAAGAAAAGAGAAATCTTGAAGGAAAAAAAGCAAATAAATAATAAGATTGGCAGCTAACATTTAATTACACATTTTCTGTGTGTTAGGCACTATTCTCAGTTCTTAATGTGTGTGAACTTACTTGCTTCTCACGACAACCTGCCAGGTAAGTATCATGATTACTTCTGTACAGTTGAGGAAGCTTAGGCCCAGAGAGGTCAGCTAGCTTGTCCTGCATCACCTAGTCTGTAAGTGGTGTTGCTGGGATTACTGGTGATAACTTCTAGGTCATGATACACGAATGCTTTTTATTTTTCTTTATGCTTTTCTTTATTTTCCAAGTTTTCTACACTGAACATATATTTTTTAATCAAAAGTTTTTTTCAAATTTGCTGTTTGTGTCTGTAAAGAAAAATAGGACAACATCATGAGAGACATTTTGAAGACAGAGTTGGCAAGTTTTGGGCCACAGGATGAAGGAAGAGGGAATGGTTGGAAACAACCCCAAGTCCTGTTTCTCTTCGTTGTCTTCTCCTTCTGTCCTGAACGTATTTAAATAGGAGCAATGCTGTTATCAGTCAGGAACAGTTGCTGAAAAATTAGGCATATTCTTATCAAGTTCACTTTCCCAGATAATAGTTACTAAATAAGGCAGTGTTTGCCAACGTTTAATTCCAGGTGTTTGAGTCCTTTGTCTCAAACTGTTTCTGCTTCCCCTGGAAGACAGGGAAACGGATGGACACGCCTTCCTGGCCTCAGAAACTCTGATCTTACTCTGGTGCTGAGTTTCTGGCCCAGTGGGAGTCATGGACAGTGGTGTGAAACCCAGGATGTGGCGCCTCTGTCTCTAGGCAGGTGGTTATGCAGAGCCACGCAGGGCAAGTGGAGGCAGCAGGAGAGCTGAAAGGTGGAACTTCAGATACCTGTTAAAACAAGGCACTCCAGCCCCCATTATGAAAATCATTGCTGTTTCTTTCTTCATTTAATGTCTTGCAGTTTTACAACTGAAGAGTTTTCATTTCAGCTTAAGCTAGGAGGAGAGAATTTTTATTAAAATGAAGTGACCTATTTGTGAAATTAACTTAGTAGCAACTCAGAAAAGATTCACCGTGATTGAACAGATAAGCCACATGCTTTGAAATTGTTTTGTCTTTAGATTTTGGGGGGAAACCTTGTTAAAGCTTTGGCACAAACCAAAAATGCCTAAACATACATATATCACATTGTTTCCCACTGCTGAGATACTACATTTTTCATATAAAACATTATCGAAGGCTGGGCTCAGTGACTCAACCTGTAATCCTAGCACTTTGAGAGACCGAGGCGAGTGGATTGCCTGAGCCCATGAGTTCGAGACCAGCCCTAGCAACTTGGCGAGACCTCATCTCTACAATAAGTCAAAAATGAGCCAGGCATGGTAGCACATGCCTGTAGTTCCTGCTACTTGGAAGGCTGAGGCGGAAGGATCCCTGGAGCCCAGCAGGTTGACACTGGGGTGGCCATGAGTATGTCACTGCACTCCAGCCTGGGCGACAGAGTGAGACTCCAACTCAAAAAAAAAAAAAAAATTCTTGAAAACAGCTTTTCAAGTTCATTTTAAGCACACATGGTCATTTAAAAATACTTTATCCTATTGTGGAGTTCATGTGTGTCTACATCCTGGAAATGTAAAGAAAGATGGAGCAGTGGTCTAGTTATGAATAAAAAAAGTCATTTTTTTTTTTTTAGCTGGAGTCTCACTCTGTCGTCCAGGGTGGAGTGCAGTGGCCGCTCCCGGCCACCACAGCCTCAACCTGCTGGGCTCCGGCGATCCTTCCGCCTCAGCCTTCCAAGTAGCTGGAACTACAGGTGTGTGCTTCCACGCCCGGCTGATTTTTTTGATTTATTGTAGAGATGAGGTCTCGCCAACTTGCCCAGGCGGATCTTGAACCTGCGGGCTCAGGCAATCCACTCATCTCAGCCTCCCAAAGGCGTGGGATTACAGGCTGAGCTACCGAGCCCAGCTGGGTCGAGGCCACGGTGGCCGGGAGCGGCCACTGCACTCCAGTCTGGGCGACAAGAGTGAAACTCCAGCTCAACAACAACCACCAAAAAACTTTAATCCCTCCTAGCAAGTACTGCCTGGGCTTTCCGTCTGTGGTAGTGGTGTGCATGGCACTTCCTGCTGTTATGCCCTCACTGTGGTTCCTTTTAGGTCAGAGGTGCAGAATCTTGTGCCTGGCTAATAAACACAATTATGTTTAGCTTGTCTTATTCTTCTCCACAAAAGTGAAAAGTGTATTGTATCTCATTGTTTTGTGCCTGAGCTTTTGCATAGGAAATAGCTTGAGTTTCTTTAGGTGTAATTAAGAATAAATAATTGTCTATTGGAATTCTAGGTAACATGGGTCAATTAAGGTAAGCGGAGGTTAATAAAAGTTAACATTAAATATGATTAAAAGTCAATTTCTGATGAATTCTTGGTGATCTTTGCCTTTGAAATCACATAATGCTAAATATTTTCCTAATACTTTTTTTTTTTTTGAGTTGGAGTCACGTTTTGTCACCTAGGCTAGAATGCAAAGGCACAGTCATGGCTCACCTCAGCTTTTACCTGCTGACTTAAGGTGATCCTCCCACCTCAGCCTCTCAAGTAGCTGGGACTACGGGCATGAGCCATCACACCTGGCTAGCTTTTTATTTTTTGTAGAGATGAGGTCTCACTATGTTTTTCTGGCTGATCTTGAATGCCTGGCCTCAAGCCGTCCTCCCACCTTGGCCTCTCAAAGTGGTGGAATTACAGGCGTGAGCCACCACATCTGGCTTTATCTTGTCTTTCCTTTTTTTTTATTTTATTAAATAAAATATTCATAGAAGTTTGGAGTACAAGTAGGGTTTGGCTACATAAACAAGCTGCCTGCAGGTGAAGTTTGGCCTGGCCATGACCAAGCACCCTTTGTGTTACCAGGCGCCCACTCCCTGTCTCTCTCCCTCTCCCGCCAGCAGCCCCCAGTGACTGCTGATCCCTCCCTCCTGCTACCGTGGCTCAATATTCAAGACCCACTTATGGGGGAGGACATGCAGGATTCGGTTCCTTGTTTCCATAATTGTTCACTTAGTGTGATGGTCTCCCAACTCCATCCAGTTTGCTGCGAGTCCATTATTTTGTTCTTCTTTATGGCTATATAATACTCCATTGGGTATATGTACCACATTTTCTTTATCTCGTCCTCTTCCACTGGGCAGTAGGGTTGGTTCCATGTTTTTGCTAGTGTGAATAGTGTGGCAATAAATATGCGTGTGCAGGTGTCTTTTGTGTAGAACAATTTATGTTCCTCTGGGAATATTACCAGGAGAGGGATTGCTGGATGCTACCGAAAGTCAATTTTTAGTTCTTTTAGGAATCTCCACACTTCTTTCCATAGAGGTTGAACTAGTTTGCACTCCCACCAGCAGTGTAGAAGCGTTCCCTTTTCTCCGCACCCATTTCAGCATCTGTTTTTTTGCCTTATGACTTGACTTAACCGGAGTTAGGTGGTATCGCACTGTAGTTTTGATTTGCATTTCTCTGATGACTAGTGAGGCTGAACATTCTTCATGTGTCTGTTGGCTGCTCATCTGTCTTTCTTTGAGAAGTGTCTGTGTCCTTTGCCCACTTTTTAATGAGGTGGTTTGTTTTTGTCCTTTCACTTCATTTGAGTTCCTTGTAGATCTGGGTGTTATGCCGTTGTCAGATGCATAATTTGCAAATATTTTTTTCCATTCTGTGGGTTGTCTCTATTCTCTTGATGGTTTCTTTTGCTGTGCAAAAGCTTTTTAATTTGATGAGGTCCCACTTGTCTGTCTTCGCTTTTATGGCATTCACTTTTGGGGATTTGTTCAAAAATTTGTTGCCTTTCCTATGTGCCTAAGGCTGTTACCTACGTCTTCTACTAGGATTCTTAGTTTGAGGTTTTTGTTTTTTGTTTTTTGTTTTCAGTTGGAGTCTCACTCTGTTGCCCAGACTGGAGTGCACTGGCCGCTCCCGGCCACTGCGGCTTCGACCTGCTGGGCTCCGGCGATCCTTCCGCTTCAGCCTTCCAAGCAGTTGGGACTACAGGCACGCGCTACCACGCCCGGCTGATTTTTTGTAGAGATGAGGTCTCACCAAGTTGTCCAGGCGGGTCTCGAACCCGTGGGCTCAGGCAGTCCACTCACCTCAGCCTCCTAAGCACTAGGATTATAGGCTGAGCCACCAAGCCCGGCAGTTTGAGGTTTTACATTTAGGTTTTTTATCCATTTAGAGTTGATTTTTGAATATGGTGATAGATAAGAGTATTTATTCTTTTGCATGTGGTCAGCTAGTTTTCCAAGCACCATTTGCTAAATATGTTCTCCTTTCTCCAGTGATTGTTATTGGTGACTTTGTCAAAGATGAGCTGGTTGAGAGACCATGTTTTTTCTTATGGAATCACTGTCCTGTTCCATTGGTCCATGTGCCTATTTTTATACAAATGCCAGGCTGTTTTGGCTACTGAAGCCTTTTAATTAAGTTTAAATTCTGGAAGTATGATACCTCCTACTTTTTTCTTTTTGCTGAAGATTGTTTTGCCCATTCATGCTCTTTTCTGTTTTCCTAGGAATTTCTTCTGTATTGTCGTTTCCAGGACTGAGGAAAATGATGTTGGTAATTTGATGGCTATTGCACTGAATCTCTAGATTGCCTTGCTAAGATGGACATCTTGACAATATTGATTCTTTCTATCCATGTGCATGGAATGTATTTCTATTTTTTGTTT